AGAGGTCCAATTAATTTGACCTTTAAGCTTGAAACGCTGACTTTCAACTCAATAATTTTAAAAGAAATAATTAAAATATATGGCATTGTCATAGAAAAAATATTGAAAATCAATGGAAGAAAGGGTGACAAAAAAAAAAAAAGAAAGATATATACAATTTTAGCTTCAAAATTAACGAAAACAAAATCCCTAGAGAGTTAACTGTCCCTTATTAAGCCACGAGAACATATTCATTCGGCTTAAATAAAATGGTGAATTTTTGTAATTTATAACCCACTTTTAATTAATTTTAGTACATCTATTTATTATTTACATAAAAGAGACTCCATTACTTTTTTACCAAATTACATTTACTAAAAAATTAATACTGACAATTAAATAACTTTTAAAAATATATATTTCTAAGTATATTACTAACGGAAGTCAATAAACAAATCAACCAAGCTAACTAACTACATAAAATCAATATAAAATTGAATTAAATATCATATGATGGGACTTTAATCTATCTAACTATATAAAATCAACATAAAATTGAATTAAATTCATATGATGGGATTTTAATCTCGTACCTAAAAATTTAAATGCGTCACCATTATTAATAAATTAATGACTCGTATACAAGATCCAATTCTCAGCCGTAAACCATATACATGTGAATGAATATGACAACTATATTACAGGTATGTTTGGCTCAGCTAGAGCCTCGTCAACTGCTATTCAATTAGAATGATTTTAAAGTGCTTTAAGAAAAAGTTAAAATAGTATTTCGATAAACTTAATGAATAACTGCTTTAGAATGTAAAAAATTACTTGATAGTATTTTTATTTTTACTAAATAAAAAAGGTTAAACTTTATCAAGGTAAATATCATAGGTTTAAAAAATACTATAAAGTAAATAACACAAAAGAGATATTTTATGAATCATAAGTGAAACAAGTAAATAAAATAAAGCGATAATATTGTTAATTAAAAATAAAAAACAAATGAAATTAATTAAAAAAATTAGACCAAATAAAAAAATAAATGTGAACTAATAGAATTCATCTCATAATTTTTTGAATTATTAAAAAATAAGACGAGAATATTAAAAAAATTCATTAAATATTTATTACTATATATTAGCATTTTTTAAAATAAATTATTTATAACTTCATTCAAAAGCTCAAACGAGCTTCTCGTCTTTAAAAAGATTGACTTTTACTTCTAATGCATTCGATCCTTTGATTGAGTTTTATTCAAAAGAGTAATGCTCTAATGCTCGAATCTCCTCTTTCATAAATAATAATTAAAAAACCTTCTCACTTTTACTTTACGTTCAAAAATTATTTTTGTCAACTTATTTTTGGATTAGTTAGCATGATATTAAAATTAATAATTGAAGGTTGCAAGTTTAAAAAAGTTTATACATGTAATATTCTTTTAAACCAAGTAAATATCAAAATAGATTAAGAAATTAAGATTATGTTTGATACACAAAATAATGGATATGATAAAATAATAATTATCTTATATTATATTTTGTTTATATCTAAAGAAAAAGGGATAAGATTATAAAGAGAATTAATTATTCTCTTGGTATAGATGATTCAATCATCTCCCAAAGTGAAGAGTATTATTTTTAACCAATCGGATTGAATTTATATATTTATTATATCTTTAAAAATTATATCAATTATTTAAATTATATAAATTTTAAGAAAGATAATTTTAATCAATAAATAAATTATCTTATCATAATCATTGCACATATCAAATACAAAATAAGATAATATTATTTAATTTAATCATATTTGTAATATTATCTTATCTTATTATAATCATGTGTGTCATAATCTTATATATTAAACATATCCTAAAAATAAATTACGAATTTAAAAAACATTTTTATAAATTGAGGTAACACCCACGAAAAGATTAGGTTATAAGTTGTTAGGGGAAAAATATACCTATAAGCAAAATCGTAAATTCAATACCCCTTCATATTGACCAATTGCGGAACGTTCTCTCTCTCTCTCTCTCTCTTTTTCCACTCCCTAAACTTCCCTCTTCACTTAGTTGATTGTCAGAAAATAAGCAGGTACCCAATTGAGTTCCAAAGTCGATCTCAGGTACAAGATTTTAGCAACAACACAGTATTTTTTTTATGAAATTATAAATATTATAGAAGTTATAATCACAATTAATTATTACATTTATGTATAATATATCACTGAACAATCAACTACCGAATTAAAACATAATTAGACAATTAAATTCACATAGAATAAAATTTAAACTTAAATTTTATAAGATCAACTCCACTTGAGTACTGCACTCTTATAGGTCTTGAATTTCTGCTTGTCACATTGACAACTAAATCATGATTCTGGTTTGTCTATCGGCCTTCTTTAAATTTCTTGGTTGATTGAGACTAATAATATTGATCTCAAAAATATGAAATTTCAATATCAAAATCTGTCCTCATTTTCTCTTTATATCAAACGTTATCGTCTTCCTAACGGGCATGGTATTTTGGTGTTTGAAGGAGTGCAATCCCTGCTATTTCTTGATTTTGGTAGAAAATTTTTTGTTTCTAGGTGTTCGATCCTTTGTTTCTAGGAAAGATCTTTGCAGCTTTTGGGACATCAACATCCTCTCAAAGCACAAATATGGTATACCTTCCTGATTATGTAGAATACCAATATGTTTCTGCACCACCTCTGCGTTCATTAAGTTTCTCACGACCAATGAACATGCTTTAGATTAATTTCATGTGTATTAAAATGTCTTTATCAAAAGGTTAGAATAGGACCTGCATACATACTAAAATATGTATTATAATTCCTTTGTTGATTCATTAGTTGTTAATTTCTTAGTTGATTCCTTAATTATTGCGAACTTTCTTGGCTCGTATTTTGGAATATTAATATAAAATTTGTAATAATTTTGTAAAATATTATTATTTTTATCAATGAATAGAATAATTTTATTTTCTTATATTTTAAAAGAAAATAGTTTCACATTTTTTTTTTTGCTTCCACGAGAGTATTAGCAACGAAATTTGCCGTCACTAAAATAATCATCCACGGAAATTATTTTAATGAAAAAATACTTTAGGGATGGAAATTTATAATTAATGGCAGAAATTCAAAGTTTTTAGTGACTAAAAATCTTATTGTTAAAAGTTATTAATAGATGAAATTTTCATTTTTGCGAGAATATTATTAGCGACTTCAAATTTTCAATGGAGTATTATTTGTGGAAATTCTATTTCTAATGGATTTTAGTGACAATAAAATTTTTAGCCACAAAATTTTCGTTGCTAAAAGTTCGTTTTATTGTAATGTGAGAAATTTAAGGAGGACTAAATGGAAAAAAAAGATAAGAAAATGAAAAAAAAAAATCTACTAGTAAACTTCAAATTTGGAAAAGCCAGCTCTTATGTTTTTGGATGTTGCAACATTCTGACTTTGCTTGTGGAATGTGTATAGAATAACAATGCTTTGAATTAATAATATCTTATTTATCTCAAATTAATTATTTAAGAGATAATTAATTTATATATGGATGTTAAAATTTTAAATTTTAAGAACGGATTTGTATAATTGATACATGTTTATTTAGTAATTATATTTATTAACTTAATTGTATGAATCTACTAAACATAAACATGCTGTAACCTTTAAACTTTGCATATGGGGAATTTTAAAATATCTCATTCTATGCGCACAGGATAATTTTTTTCTTCAAAATATTATTTCATAAATAAGATTATCTTCATTGTTATCTATTAGGTAATATTTGGTATCGAATGATTACTTTAAAAATTATAATATTTTGCATATGATGATTAATTAGATCATTATATTTGATAAGCACTTGATGATGGGATGATTACTCCAAAAACTATAACACTTTACATATAATAATTAAATCACTATATTTGATAAGCACTCGGTGATTCTATGTGGTGGTAGTCTTGAATCACCACCATATAAAATCATCAAAAGTAATTAGATCACTGTCTTTTAAAGTGATATAATTTTCATATAAAAAGAAAAAAAATTTTATCATCGAGGTGTAATAATATGTAAAATTAATAATAATCAATTTTCAACTATTTAATAATTAAATTAAAAACTTGTTACATCTAAAAAATGTAATTATTTTATATTATAAATTTTTATTTTTTCAAACTAATATTTATTGTAACAAGTTTAAAAAATTTTGTGTATTTTTGAATATTTTGTATATAATATTTTTTATTTTTCTTTTATTATGAATTTAATCAATTGGTTTTATTTTCTATTCAACATATTTTTTTACATAATTATATTATAAAAATTTAATTTAACCATCAATAAATATACATATTAATTTAATAATTTAATTAAATTTTATTCTAAAATAAATAAATATTACTTATATTTTATATATTATTATCTTTAAACAACTTTAAAATTATTAATTTGTGTAAATATTACAATATATATGGTTATTTTCATACTTTTAAACAATATAATATTTGATTTTCAATAATACAAAATACAATAATTTTTAATTCCTAAAAATTAATAATTATTAATCAAATAAAGTGATTTTAAATCATAAGTGCAAAGATAAATCCTCTTTGTTTATAATAATTCAATCCTTCCCAAAAAGAAAGAATTATTTTTAATCTATGTAATTAAATTTATATATTTTATTATATTTTTAAAAATTATATCAATAATTTAAATTATATAAATTTTAAAAAAATAATTTTAATCAATAAATAAATCATTATATCTTAATTTTTACATATTTAAAATATAAAATAAAATAATATTATTGAATCTAATTTTATTTATCATATCATTTTATTTCTACTATAATTTTGTATACCGAAAATATTCTTAAAATTTTATTTTTAAAATTCTTCTAGTGATAAGAATCGAATCTTGATTAGCAAGAAAAGAACTCCTCTTCCCAGCTAAACTAACTCCCACAAATATCTTGCCTCGTACTTAACAAATGCTGAAGAACACAACAGATTTTTTTTCCGAGATATTGGCGGAAAAAAAAAAAGACTAATTAGAAGACGAGAGAGCGGAGCATATGAGAGACTAGTTATTGTGATTATGATTATCGTTGGGTTTTACCATAAGAGCAGAAAGCCAGTTTTGCTCACTTAAAGACAAATATTAATCCTCAAAGCATGTGAGGACTGAAGACCCACGTGGAACTCTCAAAATTAATTTCAACTCCCAACGCCACCCACCACTTTAACGTCTCTTTTTCCCGATTCCTATACTCTTTAAATACAATACATGGATAAAAAGCCCTGTAACGTTCTCTTTGCTTCCCATCCCTCTCTTTTTTCTTCCCTGTACTTTCCCTTCACTTCTTCGCAGTGGAAAATAATTATGGAGTCCAAACATGAAAATTTGACACTCTCATTCATCTTGCTTCTGATGCTGCTTGGTTTTGCGAGCTCTGATGTCAATCAAGACAGAACAGAATGTGCTACTCAGCTAGTTGGGCTTGCTCCATGTCTACCATATGTTGGTGGGCAGGCAAAAACCCCTGCCATAGATTGTTGCAGTGGGCTCAAACAGGTGCTGGATAAGAGCAGGAAATGCCTCTGTGTCTTGATTAAAAATAGAGATGACCCCAGCCTTGGCCTCAAGATCAACGCTACTCTTGCAGCAACCCTTCCAAGCACATGTCGTGCCCCTGTTAACATGACAGAGTGCATCTGTAAGTGAAACACATATAATACATTCACACCTTTGATTTTCACCCTCTTTCACTTTTTCTTTTTTGGTTTAATTTTTGATTGCCTTGTATTTTGGCATTGAATTCAGCACTTCTGCACTTGGCACCCAACTCCCAGGAAGCAAAGTTATTTGAAGGATATGAAAAGCTGACAGAAGGGCATGCCAGTACCCCAGCTGCCGGTGGTAACATATACTTAACATGTTCTCTTTACTAATATCTGATGTCAAATTCTTATCCAGAAAGTAGTTGTTAATTTTTAGCTCTACTTTTTTGTCATATATAATTTCTGATATATGTAGGGAACTCCACAACCACAAAAAGCGCTGCAGAGAAGAGTGATGGAGGAAAAGGAAAGAGGTGGGTGGGAGTAGTAGAGATGGCTTTTGGAGTTTCACTATGGATTATCACTATTCACCAAAACATCGGTGTGTGATTATGGAATTTACAGACAGCTACTATGATTACTGTTTCCATATTTTTATAAAACCATGGAGTTATGTAGTACTCTATAATCTCTTTTTTTTTTTTTTTGGAGGAATCTCTTTTGTTTGTTTATCTAGATTGTGTTTGTTTGCTGTAATGGAAATCAAGGGTCCCACATGGATTAATTCCGGAACTTCAAATTCTGCTAGTTAAAATTGCGGTGGGTCCATCAGAAGTTAACTCTAGGGATCCGTTGGATCCAAATGGACCAGTACGGTGGTTTCTTTTTAATTGTGCCTCCCTAATGGACAGCTCACCCATTTTTTTCATTTACAGTCGGCTGCCATTTATGAGATAGTGGGCAACTTTTTGTTTTTTAGTGATGGAGCACATTTAAAAATATTTTTTCTCAATATTTTATTTTATGTGCAAGTCCAAATATATTATAAATAAAAAAACAAAATACCTTGAATTAATATTTGCTCTACGTATTTTTTATGAAAAGGTGATCAAAATGAGGGTAGCAATTAGACTCCAAATAATTAAATAATACATATATATGCAAATATTTTTAAATATTTATTTATAAAAATATTATTTTATATATAAAAGTAATTTTAATATTTTTTAATTATTTGTTAATTTAAAAAATATTAAATGAATACTATAAATTACATTACTGCAAATTTTAATCTAAATCCTTAATGGTTATTTTTTTTGCCATACTTTATTTTATTATTATTACATTTGTAATAAAAAAAATTTTATTATTAATTTTAATCTTATAATTATACTATTTAATTTCATTATCACCATTATTTTTAATTTAACTAAAAAAAATTTCACGCCTATTCAAATAAATCTTAATACAAGTAAAGCCAAATTGGCTAGCAAATGAAATGGAACCTAGGCTATGACATTTTTCGAACACCTTAAACAATTTTAATGTACTATACTAATCCATTAAGTTAAAAAGCCTGACATGACAGTAGAGCCAGCCAATAAATTCATGATCTACATAGAGCATTAAAATAAATAAATAAATAAATAATAACACAAGGGAAATGGGAAAACTTGCCAAGCATAGTTCCCTTTCGGTTCCACCACTACCTTTGAATCTTGAAATTAGAGTGTGCCATTTCTATCATAAATTTAGGCACAAAGAGGGCAAACTGCAAAAATTTTCTAAATTGGAAGGTGAAGGCCTTATGTTAGTCTTTATTTCATTCGAATCCAATTTAGGTAATGTATCCTTTGACTTTTTGTGATTAGATATTGATGCTAGTATTAATAAAGCCAATTTTTTAAATTGGTAAGCAATCAAAAGCAAAAGTTAAGGGAAAATAGTTACGAGCATGGGCAATCGGATTAAAATCCATGCTAACAACAAAGCAATGATCAGATTGTTGTTACCTTCCGAGTAGTTTTCATATTACTAGTCGGTTTATACTTTTTATTTGGTAATGAATGAGTATTTTTATGTATTGTAACATGCATGTTGATTCTAGCATTCTATGTGATGGATTATGTGTAATAAATGATACCCTAATTTTGGGTAATCTTTTTCAGTTGTTCATACAGTAAATAATGTTGTCATTGGTCTAAGCATGATAGAGTACATGAGAAGTCTACCGTGTGTGGCATAAGCATTAGGAACAGTTTGACTTTGACATATGTATATTGCATTAAGAGACTACCCACTACAAATATTATTGGGCACATGATTAGCAGATGTAGAGATGTTTAGGAGCTAATCTATACCGATATTTGTGGACCATTTCAATTTATTGCTTTCAATGATATTTGTATTTCATCACTTTCACATAAGATTATTTTGGTATCGACCATGTGGGGTGAGAAGTTAACTTTGTAGAAGCCTTCAAGTTTTTGAAAACCCCTGTTGAATTAAAAAAAAGCAAAATTAAGGCAATTAAATTAAACTTAGGTGATTAATATTGTGGTTGGTATGATGAAACTATGTGAAATTTTGGACTATTCTATTAAGTTTTCTATAGAATTATGGTATTAACGCCTAGCATCATTACAAGAAAATATCTATTTAGTGATAAAAAATTGCTGACGAAAAGTTTTGTCTCTAAAATTAGCTATTAACAATAGATACCCCATCGATTTTTCAAGTTGGAATCCCCTCCTTAGCGATGAAACTTTATTGCTAATGAAGGAATATTAATGATAGAAACCGTTTCCATCATAAATTCCATCGCTAATATACATGCCAAAAGTTTTTTAATGGCATCCATTTTAGCGATGAAAATCCATCACGAAAAATGGCTATGCCAACGAATTTTAGTGATGGAAATAATCAGTTTTAATTTTTTTGTTTTTTTAATTTATAAGTTTATTTAAACTAAAAAAATAAAATTTTCAATTTAAAAATTAATTATTTGGATTTTGATTTTTTTTTTTTGGAAAAACTAGCTCTTCTTGACAAAAATTTAGTGAAAAAATATTTTCAATCCTAAATGTCAATGGGAAAGAATTAGCAATGGAAATTCGTTGGTCTAAATCCTTATCATTTTAAAATTTCTTTTTTCATTCTCTTTTCCCACTTTCCATCTTTTTTTTCTTTTTTCCTTTTCAACCCCCCAACCTTCTGCCCACATCTCATTGCTATAGTCATCATCGGCCATTATCTGTTACCACAACCGTTAAGAGGTTGCCAATTTCATTTTGGACAAGATCCAACCCACAACAACCCCTAGACCTTCCCACACAGCTCCCTTCCCACAATTAGAGATGTCAATGGGGTAGAATATGTGGTAGGTAGAGCATTCTCTATTCCTATCTCCAAATTTTTATATTATACTCATCCACATACTAATACCTAATTGGTATTTCAAATCTATCGCCATCCCTACAAGTATTTAATAAGTATTGGTAATCTCTATACCCATGGCTTTTTCAAAAAAATAAAAACAAAATTTTAGTTTTTTTAGCTTTTTTATTTTTATCTTCTATATTTATGTAATTTTTTATAAATATATATTAACATTTTTTAAATAAAAATATATTAATTCTTATTAATCTAAAATAATAATTTGTATTATTTAATAAAAAATTTACTAAGTATATATAAATATATATGTAGGGTATAAGTATAATACGATACGGGGAAGGTGCTATATTAATTATCCTCATCTATATTCCCAACAAAAATTTAAAATCATATCCATCCAAATCCCCATCTCCATAATGTAATACCCAGTTCCATCCTCATTTGGGTAAAAAATCGATACGGGTAAGATTACCATCCTTACCTCCAATCCTTCTTTTCCTTCCTCCATTGTTTTTCAACAAAATGTCAGTCACCTCACCACTTTCCCTCCCAACTTCAAGCCCTCATAAACTCCAAACACCTAAGCCTAAAATCTCTCTTAGTTAGCCCCCCAAATTTTTATGTTATTTTTTATGGTTTTTTTATTTTCTTAGTTTTTTTTTTTGTTTTTTAGCATATCTTATACTGTTATGTCTTTTACTTTGTTTAAAAAGTGCTCATTGTTCCAAAACATAAACCTTAACAAATGTTACTAAACAAGCTAATTGTGATATAAAGTGATGTGCTTTGACATTGCTGGTTAAGATATGCTATTTAAGGGGCAAGAAAAGCTTATTTCCAATTGTTTTGATGGGCTAAGTTTTCGGATGTTGAACTAAAAAATTATGGTGATATGAGATAGTTGAATAATTTTATCGTATAATTTGCTACAAACTAAGTTTTTTTTATAGGTTATTACTTTAATTTAATGCCTTTTTGAAACTCATTATATTATGAGGTTTGATTTGTTAATGGGATAAGTACTTAGTTGAAAGGTTGCTACTCAATGGTAATTACTTTGTAGTATAATTAATGTGTTTCATAGCTAAAAAGACTATATGGTGTTAAGGTATAGAGGTTAATTACTTTTTTATTGATTTTTATCTATTAAATGTTTATTTCTTTTAGCTCAAGTGTAGATAAGAATTTAAGAATGAGTGACTTGGATTGTCCCTAAATTATTTCCCAAAAATAATTTTTTAAATAAATTTGAATGAAAAATGCAAAATATAAAAGATATATGAAATTAAAGCATAAATAAACAACAATGAAAAATAAAAAAAGTAAAAGTAAAGGAATCAAACACAAAACTTTATAAAGGCTCGGTTCTTTTCCAAAAGCACCTATGTCATTTCCCTTAACTTTCATAGCCAAGCTTCAAATTTACTAGTAAAAAATATTCTTATACAAATTACAATCTTTATCTTATCAAGGTCAAGATAGCAACATCTATCCCTTTGTAAGATTCCATCCAATCCTTTATAAAGCTCTCAAAAGGATACCTCATCTCTTGACTTACCAAGTCTCCTTTGAATAGAAAGGTTTTTGCAAACTAGTAAAAACCTCTAAAAGGTAAGTGTTTTCCTAAGGTTAAGTACAAAGATGAAGAGACAAATGAAGATTGGATACAAAGAGTACAAAAAAAAATTGGAATTGAAGCATTATGGACTCTAAAGCTCTTGATTTCTTGAGTAAAAACTCTTGGTTCATCATTTTCTTGTTTAGAATGTGTTAAAGGCTTTCTTTTATAATGGGATATCATCTCTAGCCTCTGTGAGTCATTGGAATTGAGATAAAGCTATTATTTTGTTAAAGTTTTATTTTTATTCGAACTTCTTACGTGAAAGGGGTTGATTCTGAGATCGATCCCCATGCTTCTAGACTAAAAAATATAACTATTAAAAATGAAGAGATTTATTTTGGGATCAACCCTCTAGCTTGAAAAATATGGGAGGAGCATTCTGACTTGTAGAAATCAATCCTAAGATTGATCCTTGTATTTGGAAAACAATATAAGAATATTTTGGAAATAAGGGATTAATCCTATTGATAAGGGGATTGATCTCGTTTTTCAAATTTGCATATTTTGATATTTTTTTACCAAGGAAAAAGAGTTGCTTTTTTCCAAACATATTTTTACTAAGAATATTCATTTAAGAGTATGAATTGCTAAGAAAAATTGAGATCCATTAGTATTTAGTAATTTTTCAAGAATTGATTCAAAAATAATGTCAAGAAAAACTTACTAAATAAATAAATTTGAAAATCATAAATTTAACTTAAATTTTTTTATATCAAAATTGTAAATCAATTCAAAATTAACAATTTCCTATTTGTTAATATACCTAA